CCACAGCCCGAGCCAGGGGTCCCGCCGTCACCGGCTGCGCCCGCTCTGCACGGCCCAGTCCGAGGCCCAGTCCGCCGAGCGCGCCGCCCCGCCTTCCCCGGTAAGTCCTTCCCGCTCTCGCCAGAGGGCCCTGGGCTTCCCACACCTGGCGCTGTGGCACTGAACTTGTGGCCTTCGGTCCTGTCGGTGTCTCAGACCCCAGCTCGGAAAGGCCAGAGCCTGAAGGGCTATTTGGGACCAGTGGACAGCTGGCATACCTCAAGGCTTCGCACTTCTTAGCGATCCAAGCCACGAGGACTCAGTGCTCCAAGAGCCTTGCAAAGCTTCCCCCCCCGCCCCCCGTCCCTCCCTCTCTCATCCCGTCCCCCACACCCCGCCTCTCCTGAGCCTTTGTCCCGCCAGCACCCCACCCGGGGCTGCAGAGGCGAGTGCGCCGGAGCCGGGCCGCCCGGCGACGGCTGCACCTGCCGGCTGGTCCCGTGCACCGGCTTTGCGCAGCTTAACCCAGCCGGCCGCTGCGAGCATCCCCGTGCGCTGCGCCCGCCTCGGCGGCCCTTTATTCTGTGTGGTTAGGGTGTGTGTGTGGGAGAGCCCTGGGTCTGGAAACCAATCCTCATCCCCAAGCCGGAGTCCGAATCCATTTAGTGGGATTTCAATGAGAATAGAGCTGCCCCAAGATTCGCAGATCTGAGGCGGGGAGGCGTAGGCGGCAGTCTGGGTCTGTCTGGACGCCCCGCGCTTTCCAATCCTTTGGGGGCGGCTAAGCTCCAATTCCCGGTTGTCTCATCTGTAAGAGGGAAAAGCCTGGCTTTGAAGGTCCTCAGGTGTGGTGGCCACTCCTTTCCCGGAAAACATAGAAGGAAATTCGTTGTTTTGGAAAAAAGCTTCGTGTCCTGCAGTCAGGAGTATCTGCTCTGGACATTGCCGTTCAGGGCGGGTTTAGGCAGACACCCTGCGCTGGGATTCGTTTACGAGAGGCAGGATTAGAGCCACGGACAGGGCCAGAGAGGCTTCTCAGGCTCCTGAAGCGCGTTGCCACGCCAGGTTGATGCAAACCAATTGCCTCTAACGAAAAGGATTTACTACTTGGTCGGGCTGCTCAAGCGTGAGGGAAAAACTACACGGTGGCTTGTGGGTCTGTGCGGGGGGGGGGGCCGGGGAAGGACACAGGCTTGAGGGTGGGGGTTAGAACTCGGTAAGAAAGTATAGGATGTCCACGACTTCTTGGTTCAGAGCACCGAGACATCTGGGCCCTGGGCACTAGATTCCAAAAGGCCAAGAACCCGCATGGAATGGGTGCGCCGGCCGGGAGGCCAGGAGAGGGTAATCTTATGATTTGGGAGGCTGTGCGTGAACCCCTAAGGGCAGGAGGCACCTGTGTAGTCATAGGCCGCTCTCCAGACCAGAGGAACCATGAGCAGGCTAGAGGCCTCTCTCGGGAGCGCACTAAGAAGCCCCCTGGCTTGGCCTTCCCCCTCCTCCGACATGCCCCCCAGGTACATACTGGCCGCGGGAGGCTAGACGGAAGCTGAGCTGTGAGTTAAATTCGCTAATAGAAGGCAACCTCTAAGGAAATGTATTTCTTGGAACCCCGTCTTGAAGTAGCCAATTAGCTGCACATTGCACAAGGCGTCAAGAATTAGATTACAAAGAGAGGACGAACTTCTGGTCCCTGAGGGACCGCTTCGGATGAGTGAAGTTTAAACAAAGGGCGCATGTAGTGGCTCTCAGAAAGCCCGGAGATATGGGGTGTCACAGAGCCCCAGCCGGCCGTTCTTGGGGCGCCTTAGAACTGGGTAAACAAATGGTCGCTGCGCTGGTTTAGAATTCCGAACTGCTGCGCCCCTAGCCTGGGAGCAAAAGCCCTCGGCCCTGTACAACCGGCGCTCATTCTCCTTCCTCCCCGGGAGCCTCAGATCACTAGAAAAAGAGGCTTTAGAAAAATTCCGTTTCACCAATGTCCTTCCTCAGTGCTCTGCGAAATGTTGTTCTCATATAGTGAAAGTGACAGCTTCACAGCGCGATTAAAAACCGAGGCCTGGGTTTCCAACACCCTTTCAAGAATGCACAGAAATTTGAAGAGGGAGTATGTCCTTCGAAAGCGCCCTGGGGATCCCCAAACCCCAATCTGTAAGAAGGAGAAATAAGTCCTCTCGCATGGCGACCGAGATCCCCCGCTGAACCCTGAGGACCACCTCGCGTGCCTTTGGGCTGAAGTGGATCTGGGTCTCCCCAGTGGGCCGGGGCCCCCGGCGGACGTCCGTCGGTCTGTCCAACACAAACACACGGCCTAGAGGCCCCCTTTACTGACAAGTTT